CTGAGAGCAATTAATTAGTAATTTATTCTACCTTCTTATAGAATATCTAACGTTCTATTATCTGGTATTTTCAGTTTTATTTCATTATTCTTGTTCTAGTTGTTGCAAACAGTGAGTATACGTTTTTTCAATTTATTTAGAACAAATAGAGATATCTAAATTGAGATGTCCTCGGACGGTCAGTTGGCTATGGTAGTACTTTCTTCCCCCTACTATGAAGAATAGGAAAATGTAGTAGTCAAGACTGATCGTTTTACATGATCTATTCTCACTGGTTTACGGTGGTTCAAACCACAAAAATGGTTCAATCCATCATCAGAGAGGAACTGTGTGAACTTAAAAGCGTATGATTGAACCTTAAACCAGGTAGAATGCACGAGCCCAGGACAAACCTTACATTACGGTATTCCTTTAGTACAAAATTTTATTTTTATATCGTTTTTTAATAGTTTGTATTGTAATGATTGATTTGTTGTGTTGCTTGGGTATCTGACCTGTTTGGACTGTAAATAAATAAAAAATAAAAGAGCTAGCATCCTATCCAACACGTCGGCCGACGAGTATATTTATCTTGTTAGGTTAGGGTGAGTGGTTAGGTCGTCCGACTTATATTTGCTAGGCTAGCGGTTCTCTGTTCGAATCCCGGCATAGGCTATGGAATTTAATTGAGATGAGAAAAGTATCGTAAGGTGGTTTTTCACCTCGACCGAGACGTCCAACGTTTACCTCTTCTGTAAGCCAGGAATTACATTACTTTTTATATCACATGTTCCCATCGGAAGTTTCAGGTTCTACGTTTGTTATTACCGGTTTCCTTTTATCGAATCACCCTGCAAACGATAAAAACAAACATAAAGCTTTTAGCCGGGCTTACCGCGACGAAATTTATGTATACGACGGCCCATTAACCACGGACATGCATTTACCTCGACCAAAATCGTCGTGCTATATCGTAAGAGGTATTTTAGCCCAAACGACTCCACTCAGTCGTTTACCCATGCGATACCGATCTAAATCACCCCCGAAACGGCCATTTTACCCACCCCATTGCACCAGTAACCACGAGGGTTGCGCGAAAAAACCGCCATTTTGAAATTAATATATTTCAATTAACCACTATCAGTCACGCCTACCATGTGTGACAATTTTGCTTAGACCAACGTTCCAACACGAGATAAAATATGTAGGCAAAATCAAATTTATAAAGCTGAAACATTTCATAAATATAATACCTTTTTATGCCAAAGCAATGTAGCCGTCAGGAATCAAACATCTTCGGTCAAAAAGACTGGGTCAGAAACGTGAATTATAAATAATAAAAAAGAAAGACGATAGATCCACCCGCAGGTTGCGTGCGTACCATGCATTTCCTATTTCCTCTTATCTCATTAAAACGTAGAGCAGATATGACAGACGTTTAATCATCATTAAGATTCGGTTTCGGTTCGATTGTATGTGTTTATTTTTTAAATAGCTCATTACCGTCCTTCGGTCAACCAAAGCTAACCTGATGCACTCAGACGAGGGGTCATCGGCCCACCACCCAGCAGTATCTTAAGAAATACGGAAGAAGGGAGAAGCAAAAGAAAAGAGGTTTCATTGACAAAAAATCATCATCAATTCAGACAGCCAAGCAGACATAAAAACACAAGCACGTAAAAAAATAACATCGAAAATAGTGAATGAATCAAAAAGTTCGGGTGCCAGGACACAATGAATTCTGGCAGACAATCTGGTCAGAGAAGAGATTTGTAAGACCATATAGACAGGAATAACAAGGCCAAATTCAAAAATTTCCATCTCAGAATGGGTCCACAGAAAACAAAAGGGGAATTGGGCTAATTCCTAAGGTGCCAGACGCAATTAACTTATTACGAAATCTTGCCAAACCTGGCCAACGCAGTGCAACAGTTAGAGAGGGTAAGACCTACGGTACTGGTTCGCCAGAACCTAATAAAGTCACTGGCATCTGAGAAAACACAACATGTATATATTTAATGATGACCCCATTTATAGGTTATCCAATGAGGAGAAAGCGACTGCCATCCATATTATCTACGAATGCGAAACAACCGCTCAATGGAGATATAACATAGGATATAAAAAGATTCGCGAGAAAGAATTGCAGCAATAACAGTTGATGATCTAATACTTCTTAAGAGAAGAATAAAGTTAATTGAACCGAATTAAGGAACTATGAAAAGTACAATAAACCAGAAGGATACAGTGCTTGAAAATACAAAACCCCCACCATCTGTTGGGGTTTGCTACATGTACTATGGAACATGGTTGATGCTTCATGCTACATATGCAATAGAGATATTCATCGGAACCTGTGGATACTGGTGAACTATACTGAGGTCATGCGATATGCTCAAAATGACTCAAGCTTCAAATGACATCCGGATATTGAATCGTGTTATCGTGTTGGGAATTTGTTTTTAACGACAAACATACATCCAATAGTGTGGTCACCCCTGATGTATAAGGGCCAAAGACGTCTGATCAAAATATATTGGAATAAGAGTATCAGGATGAATGTGAAGTTATGGAACATAGTTTATGTACAACATCGTTTTGATGGTGGAAATTTCTTCTCCCAGGAGTAAGAATCTACTTACTTTCACATCAACAGAAGTCATGTTCCGTTGGTTGTCCTTCTTCCTGGCAATATCTGCAAAGGCCTTTTTTCTGCTACTTGGAATCTATACATATTCTCCCGAGTCTGCTGTGTCCAATCAGCAGTCCAACTTTCATTCTAGTCACACGTCCTAGATTTAGTAGTTCTGTCGTCAGTTTCTGCAATGGTCTTTTGATGAACTTTTCCACATGGCACTGTCCTGGGATACAATCCCCCTGAACGGAGGACTAAGTTTCGATTGATTTTCAAGATAAATCATCAACAGATAACATATTATTTGTAAGAGAAGTTGAATAACATCCTGTTTTATACAAACTTGACGTTTCCTGGTTATTCGAAGAAAGACCTCACTAAAAAGGCATCGCATGAAGTTGAAAAAACGCAAAATCTTCGTATCGGTTCTCTTATGTACCTATATGTGCAGTCACAGTACAACGTGACAGCTTTTTCACTGATATCATAACTTACAACAAACAAAGACAGGGATGATGTTCATTACATGATGATACTGAAGAAACTACCGATTTTTTTGTAGCTTCATGGATTCGCACCACTAATGAGTTCTAAATGATTAATGATTCCAGTCACAAACTAATTCCGTTTATTTTGAATAGCTCCGTGTGTAGTCGACCTTATTCTTAATCCATTACGGGGTCTACGTTTTCTCGAGTTTGACCTCTTCCTTGCCCCTCTGCCCTATATGCCCTAGTGCCCAGACAATAGTAATTTTGTTGTTATTCCAAATGCCTGTACGTTCTACGCTATATGTCTGTGGCACTTTTTATATTGTTGTATAGTGGGGTGATACTTTTAATTACTGAATGTCACATAAATGTGGTAATTTTGTATGTTTTATTTGAGTGAAAACAATGTAAAGAATAAGCTTGAAAACTTGTAAACGTCTTGCTTCAGGAAGATAAATATGGATGTAAAGATTGGATACGGAAGGAAGAAAAACCTTATACCAACCAAGAAGAGTGTGTTTGATTTATACGCTGTAATATCTAGCGTGATGAAATTAATCAGGTCCGCTGCTCCAATTACGTCAGTACTGTTCAACTTCCAAATTACCAGTTGAGGTCAATCTAGGAGGCGAGCTGGAAGAGGAAAGGCGATTTGCATATGAAAATCCATGTCATCGCCTCCCCCCGAAACTCGGACCGGGTTTTATGCAAATTCCGGTTAGCGTGAGACCACGAGCAATTATGGTAATGGAGGAGCGGGTGGGTGGTTTGCTTCGCCATTACCTAAACCGCGGCGACGACGTGTAACGCCAGCTTGAACATGCAGTTTCCCCATAGAGAAGAACACTGTTTGCGTTAAGCTCTTCCGTGACGGAGGTTAGTTTCTATATGAACACACGCGGGAAACGGGTGATGAGGAAGCCCGTCGGAGCTATGACCAACTGGTATCGTTGTTTTTATCCGATTTGCTATATAATTCATACAAAATCAAATTCAGTTCCATAAATACACTGTTTTTAACAGCCTATCTATTTTTCAAATCCTAAACCTAGAAACTGAGCTGTACATTTAATAAACAGCAAAATTGTCAACCAACATAGTCACTTTCACTCAATTTTGAATCATTATTTTGTAATGGTAAGTTTGTTGAATGGTTTAAAACGATCGTTTAAAAGTTTATTGATCAGGCGACAACAAAGTAAAAAGTATTTCTCAGCTCCTGAGAGTTTGAAAAGATTGACTTCCTACAATTGTTTGATTATTATTCAGCAACACAATAAATCATCATTTCAATCGGTGGAAAAGTGTAAGAGAAAAGTTTCCCAAAAGGTAAACATTTCAGAAAAAGCGATCTTATCAATATTTCCCGTTGCCGCCCATTTTACGCCATAAAAATGTTACTCACCTATTCTTCTTGCAGTAAGTTGTTTTAGTTGGGAACGAAGTTTCTACACAAAATAATAAAAGACAAACAGAATAAGAGCTGGTGAGATGCGAGTTCGTCAAAGCAAGATAAACAGAGCCCTTGACAAATTTGAAAAAAAAAAATTGAAGCACTTATAAAGGTCCTCACCTGAGGTGTAATAAGTACATAAATATGCATTGTTTGTTTCGAAAAATGTTGCCAAATGCCGAAACCTTTTGAAAGAGATCAAACCAGCGAGAATAGTATGATAAAGAAAAAAACTCATTGTCGATTTATACTCTTCTTATACGAATAGCACTAAAGAGTCCCGTATTTTTAAATGCTAGATATTGGTTCGCAATGAAGATATTATTATTAGCTTTCCTTTAGCTATACCTAAAGAGTACATAAATCAAGAACTTAGTCATCAAAGGGACAAAAAATAAAACGATATAAGAAACAACTGAATATAATTTTTTAATTAACGAAACAGAAGTTCACTTGTTTAACTGAAAAACCAGCCGATTTTTCAAAGCAAGCAGTAGTGAGCTGACAAGCTCTATCGCCCAATTATAATTCTTTCTACTAACTAATATCTCGTTTTTACCTATTATTTTGTCTCTGTATCGCTCATTTTCCTCACCAAAGGACCATGCCCGACGAGGAGGAAGAAACTGATACATTCGTCGCGCCGAAAGGGTACTGCAGGATCTTCTCCCTTCAAGCTGGCACGTGCATCACATCAACAATTGGAGTGGTATGACGAAAAAGATTATTGAAGATAGTCAATATTATTTACTTAAACATTACGTATATCATTCTTAAAAATATTATTGTATTAAGCCACTTGAAACTTGCGTTTTTGTAAATCATCTGTTAAACGCAAAATTATATTTGATGAAAACAGTTTTATTTTAAATTTAGTCACCTGGCTGTAAAATTTAATAATACAAAGCAAGTTTGCAAGAAATGAAATATTCAAAATAAAAGATAGATAGTTATACATAGTTGATATACATACATGCACAGAGAAAGAAAAAAATTAAAAAGAGATATGAATGTAAATTAGAAATAAATAAAGATTAATAATTTTAAAAATCTAGATTAAATGGGAGAAAAAGAAAGAAAGATAAAAATGGATAGATAATTAGAGCGAAAGAGTAAGAGATTGAGATAGATAGATAGATAGATAGATAGATAGATAGATAGATAGAGAGAGAGAGAGAGAGAGAGAGAGAGAGAGAGAGAGAGTATGAGAGAGACTGTAACAGGAGGGAGAGGAAAACAGAGAGAGAGAGAGAGAGAGAGAGAGAGAGAGAATGTAACAGGGAGGGAGAGGAAAAGAGAGAGAGACAGACTGTAACAGGGAGGGCGAGGGAAATAGAGAGTGAGAGAGGGAGAGAAAGACAGAGTGTGACAGGGAGGGAGAAGACATACAGATCATCAGAAAGTCACAATGAAAAAAGTGAGAGGGGAAGAAGCAGGGAGAGTATGGATAGAGGGACAGAAAGAGAAAGTTAGAGGAAGAGAGAAAGAGAGAGAAGAAGACAGAACATCAGAAAGGCAGGAAGAAGAAAAAAGGTAGAGAGTGGAAGAGGCAGGGAAAGATATAGATAGAGGGACAGAAAGAGAGAGTCAGAGTGAAAGAGAGAGGAAAAGACAGACAGACCATCAGAAAGTGAGGAAGAAAAAAGTGAGAGAGTGGAAGAAGCAGGGAGAGTAAAGATAGAGGGACAGAAAGAGAAAGTCAGAGGGAAAGAGAGAGTGAGAGATAGACTGACTGTGACAGGGAGGGAGAAGACATACAGATCATCAGAAAGTCAGAAAGAAAAGAGAGAGAGAGAGAGAGAGAGAGAGAGAGAGAGAGAGAGAATGTAACAGGGAGGGAGAGGGAATAGAGAGTGAGAGAGGGAGAGAAAGACAGACTGTGACAGGGAGGGAGAAGACATACAGATCATCAGAAAGTCAGAAAGAAAAAAGTGGTAGTGGAAGAAGCAGGGAGTGTATAGATAGAGGGACAGAAAGAGAAAGTCAGAGGGAGAGAGAGAGATTGAGGGAGAGAGTATGAGTGAGAAAAAACGGAAAGAGACAGAGATTGTGGGAGAGAGTATGAGAGAGGAAGAGAAAGTGAGAGAGAGGGGCATAAAGAGGGAAAAAGAAAAAAAAGAGAGATTGTGTCGGAACATAGGTAAGAAGAAGGCACAGATGATGTGACAAGAAAAGAACATAGCATTTGTAAGTAATGAAGAGAGGCAGAAAAGGAGCCAAAGAAAAACAATAAGTTCCAGCAAAACTATATGATTACGTCAGTTCTTTATTACTAATTTATGATTTACTTTAAAATGATTAGTTTATCATTTATACAGTTTTATCTCCTAATTAGAGTTGTAAATCTAAATAATTTTCTTTTTGGTTTGTAGACATTGATGCTTAGTGTCATCATATATAACGTTTTCGCCGAAAACCGTTTGGCCTCAGTGATGCTACAAATTAGTAAGTAACGTAAAAACAATTCAGAATTCCCGAACTGATTGAATATGTTTTTCAGCACAATATTTTTTTATTTACATTTATTCGCTTATTATGTTTGTCGGGTTTGGATTGGTGTCGTTCGCAGCATTTTTAGTATGTATTAGGTTTTCCTATAGTCTTTTCTCCAATAATAATCTATAATTCAGGGAATACCGAAGACTCTCATGATTGGCTATTACCTGAATTTCTCCGGTTTTATCCTTTGGGTCATATTGTGTATTATAAGCTACATACCGACGAATGACGCTTTTATGTAAAAACGAAATCAATAGTTGCCGAGAGTCGATGCGTCTTTATGATACCGTTTCGTTTTAGGTTTGTGTGTATTGACAATCGTTGTCCCGAGACTCATTGGCTCTACGACACGAGGTGGAGGAACTATGGATTCGTCTGCCCTTTCGACAAGAAAGCCACGAAGGAAGACGAAAGCCCAGTACTTTCGTCCCTGTACATCGGATGCGAAAATTACGAAGAGCTGCCCATGACTACATCCACGATTCTCGGAATCGCATGGGGCAGTACGTAAAACTGGCACTCTAGCAACAGCTCAATTTATGCCGGACAAAGGAAATATTGATTTAATTCTGTTTCAGTATTCATGGCTTACGGCCTTTATACGTATAAACAATTCAAAAAGGAATTGACAGGAGAATTGGACTTCTTCTGATGTGGAGGTTGATTTTTACCTTAATTACCTGTAATTATTCTTGTAAATAAAGAAATACAAAACAAATTATAATAAATTACTACATAATGTTAAACCAATATTAAACATTTAACAAATAACTCTAAGCTATTTTAAATATTACAATTAATTAAGGTTTTAGTTGAGATAAAAAAGTCAATGGCACGAGCGGGATTCGAACCCACGATCTTCGGCTTGATACGCCGCTGCTCTACCACTTGAGCTATCGTGTCCTAGATCCACTCGGACACCAACTTCCCATCTCAATCGCACCTTTTGAATTTTCCCTCCTTTTTGCCATTTTTCCTTTTGGTCACGATAGCTCAAGTGGTAGAGCAGCAGCGTATCAAGCCGAAAATCGTGGGTTCGAATCCAGCTCGTGCCATTGACTTTTTTATCTCAACTAAAAACCTTAATTAATTGTAATATATTAATTGGTCTAGCGCACCACGAAATTAGTGAATTTAATTATTTTAAATATATTAATTTAATATGATTGCAGAGTTGTTTATTCAAAGAAAAAATGAATATATGTAAATTTTAAACTTAAAATATTTCTAAATATGTAAACATTTGTTATTGAATTTTTCTTCAAAGCATCTATTAATAAAGATTTTTTAAAATTTTTCTTCTGTCCTTCGGTCCTCCAGGCCATCCACTGAAATTTAAAGTAAATAAAATGCAGTCGTCTAGTTTGCGCCTCCTTGAGGAATATCGAGTACTGTGGAGTGATTGGGTGACGTCTGGAGAGTGAAAGTAAGTTATTAGCGAGAATGGAGTGGGTTCAACCCCGCCTCAAGAAATAGCGACTACTCAGTTTTCATATAAAACTAGAAATTCAGAAACAAATCGAGCCGCTCAAATGGCTCCAGTTTGAAAAATAAGCATGAAAGACCAAGAAAAGAAGTTCAAACACGCCGAGGGCAGAAGGCCGGCGATTACACAGCTGCGTGTTGATCCTAAACTACCCATTATTATACACTGCCCATACAAAAAGAAAAATAAGAAAACCGACCCCCTCCTGGTTTTTGCATGGAAAAATGGCCAAATTTGTAAATGCAGATTTTCTCAGCCGATTAAGTCAGCCCTAGGTCTCATTTTTTTTATTTTACACTGAACAAGGTGGCTTTTTAAATGTTGAATTTCCCACGTTGGCCATTTTTTCTTGCAAAAATAAAGTGGTCGGCTTTTTTTTGAAGGGCAGTGTATTTTGCGATAATGTCAACTAAAAATATTATCTGCAGTTTGGCCATTGCTGTTCATTTCTTGTTAGCCAAGTCTTTTTACTTTCTAACAGAAATCATACAGACAACGCAATGAAGATGGCGAAATACAAAAATGCATCTGTTAGACCAACCTAGCAAAGATTGACTAAAATGATCAGCAACGCCCAAATAACCCAAACACTTTGTTGATTTCACAATGGAAGAAAAAGGCCTCGGAGTGCATGTTAATGTTGGTACATTGGATGTAATATGCGGCCTTTTCCTTTTATTGAGTTTATCCATTTTCAAGTTATAAAAACTGGAAGACTTAATAAAAATTTTGTAAAACAATCTGTTTTGAACAAATTTAGTTATTGCCAACTTTCTACCATGAAAAAGAGCCCATAAAGGCAGAAACGTTGGTCAAATTATTTTTTTTGTTGAGAAAGTGAACTTTTTTTCTTGGTTCCAACACCCACCTATCACTCAGTTTTGATATAATCACAACAATTAACCATGGATGTTGGAAAAAATAATTCACGTACTATACAATAATAGGAAAGACAATTCTATTTGATTAGAGAAATCTCTCATAGAAATTACATTGTGTGTACAATTTATTACGCTTATGATAATTATGACATTTAAAAAATGTAAAAGATAAAAACGATTTAAAAAATTAAAATTTTATCATTGTTTTAGACAAGAAGCTTAACCTTCTATGGACAATTATACAAAAACCTATGCTAATTATCTATTTTATACATGTCATTAATTAATTAATAGGGAAGGATGTTTGCTATTTTAACTTCATTCCCTTTGTATGTAAATTAAGTAATAAAATAACTTTTAATGTTTGTATAATCTCCAAATTATTTTGTGTGGTGATTAGTGACCGTTAATCGATAATTATACAGAAATCGTGAGATGCGGTCTGGTGTGATAGGTTTCAGAAAAACATTTTCTTTATCGTGCCAACGTTTCGATCTTTATTGAGATCATCTTCAGGGCTCAAAGTGTTTGTCTTCTGTGTAATTGTGCCATTCTTGCGTGTCGTGTTGATTCTGGGCACTCTCAACACGACACGCAAGAATGGCACAATTACACAGAAGATAAACACTTTGAGCCCTGAAGATGATCTCAATAAAGATCGAAACGTTGGCACGATAAAGAAAATGTTTTTCTGAAACCTATCATACCAGACCGCATCTTTATGCCATATTTTGTTTTTGTGGTTGAATATTAAGTTAAAAATAAAGTAAATATTTATAAATGGCAAAAGATGACGAGTGAACAGTTTAAATGTTTTCGGATGATTATTAATTTAATTCTATCAAAAATTGTCAGTAGGAACCGCTTAATATTTTTTCATCATTCTTGCTTGCTGCGTACAATATCATGCTATTTGATTTGCTTGTTTATAATTTTAAGAAATTTGTAAAATAAATTGTAACACGAAAACCCACGAGAGTTGACGGACCCAGTATCGGTTCAATATGTAATGAGTAATGACCGACATGCAGACCAATGTCCGCTTTAAATGGTGAAAGTCTGAAGCTTTTAAGTAAGTTTACTTTTCGGATTTTTAATCAGCTAATATATTTTGTTTATTATGGATTTATGATATTGCTCCGTTTTAGGTTTGTGTGTATTGATAATTTGTTCCCATGGAAAATATGCCTTGTTTAAGTTATAAGAATGACATTTAATATCAGTAAGAAAAATTATTATTTAGGTCTTCTTTGGATTCTCTGAGAAAACACAAAGCTGGGCTTTATGTATGAAAACTATTAACCTCCCCCTAGTCTTCGGATGTCCACCTCTGACCAATTCTTGGGGTCTTCGGGACATCAATTAAAAATCGGTAGCTGAAAAATATTTTTCGAATGGTTTCCAACTGCAGAGATCTATCAACAACCGGAGTTCCGGTAACAAGTTTTGGAATTCAGGTCGACCGATTCATTTCGAATTTGTTTATATGCATTATTTTACACTACTATGCACTTCTTGAGCCTATTATTTTACAACTCTGCATCCAAAGTGGTGTGTGACAAAAGTATATCCTTTTTAGATGTAAAATCGACTTTGAATTTAATTAGAAAGTAAATTAGAAAATAAGTTTCAAAAATGCCTATTTTTCTTGAAACAATTGTGCTTGTTTTAGTTAATTTTGCATTTTCATTGAACCCTCATCCTCATCGTCCGCCAAATGAACCGACTGAAGATTAGTGGACTGAGGATAGTCCCAGGTACTGTAAAAACATTGCTCGCGATAAACCAATGTTAAGGAAGCACAATCTTGCGCTCTTTTTAAAAAAGATGAACTGATGGGCAGTGGGAGTATGATAGAAAATTGATTATTCTTTTAACAGAAATTTACTAGTCTTTTACAGTGATACGTCGTTTCTTTTGCTTCAATCTAGGCTAAAATAAACCATGAAAATTTCCCCACGGTTTCATAAAAAGTGCCAGCTGTTTGTCGATTGTTTTGTAGAAAAAGAAAGTTTACGTATTTTGAGCTTGAAAATTCGTCCTTCCAATGAGACTCAACCCGTTCAGGCAGGCGGACTTCTTATATTTCTACTCGTTGCAAGCAGGGGTGGTGATATGTTCTTCAATCGGAATAGTAAGTTGAACAAATATCTGCCTAGTTACACATCAGCACGTATTACAAACATCAAAAAATCCCAACTGCGATTGCAATTTATTCAATACAGACCATTTTTCAAGTAGATTTTAGCTTTAGATAGATTTCCCGTCAGTGATTGTAAAGCAGGTACGATATGGAATGTTGAGGTCATTAAAATGCAACAGACAAACAAATTGTTGACAGTAAGAAACAGCACAGGTCATCACTGATTCTACTATCCTCGGTTGAATCTTAATGACAGTCGCACTTTAATCTTCATCGCCGTGTTCAACCTGTTTTCACAAAAAACAAGATTCCAAAGGCTAATAAGTGAAAAAAGGTCCCATAATTTAAAATATCGTTATGGTTATGGTTTCAATATTTATCAAAATATTATACAAGCTATGTTAGGGTTAAGGCTAAACCCTGCTCCCTCACTTAGAAAATGTGTTTAGGTATATAAAATTATGGACTTAACTAAAATATGGAATAATACCGTCGTTAAGAGGTAATTTGATTTAAAAAAAATTTCATTCTTAAAAATATTCTCTTTTAGATAAACTTCTGATTGAAATTCAATGATTTTCATATTACTCCGCTTCCATGTAAATTGCAACTTTTTTATTGGTCTTTCAGTAGAAATATTTAAAACATATATCAACATAATAGCTCTAACATAAATACATAAACATGTATAAACATAAAACAGCAATATCTCACTGGCACTGTCAACACGACACGCAAGAATGGCACACTTACGCAGAAAACAAACACTTTGAGTGAGTAGAAATACTTTGATTGAATATAAAAAATATATTTTTTCTATTGTATAAATTCACTTTTTTCCACATCCAACATGTATTTATTAAATTTAAACAATGTTGATTTAGAAGATGATCTCAATAAAGATCGAAACGTTGGCACGATAAAGAAAATATTTTTCTGAAACCTACATCATATCAGACCGCATCTCATGATTTCTGTATAATCAAAAAAAAAACTTTCAAACTTCCACTTCACGACGTCCATAGTTTCACATTAAAGTGTAAATAATGTAGGCGAAGGTTTATTTATTAGCCTATTATTGTTGTATATATTCGTATATCTAAGTTTTCGACTGTGTCTATTTCGTCCTTTTATGAAGAAACTCGCAAATTTTTTGGCTGCGTTTCTTGCGTTTAATCCCCGAGAAATATCGTGTTATCCAGGAGAGTGAATGTGACCAAACTTCTACGTTTGTATAGGGGGCTGATGTATGTGTATATATTGTATATCAATCGTCCATTCTGTAGTTGACAACAAGGTACAAATAGGAGACTACCTTTGTAGGATATCGACTTAAATCGTCATACAAAAGCAGAGAGTAACATATCGGGATGAAATAGCTGCATGCTGAAAAATACTCCTGAAAGACAGAAAAATAAGTAAAAACTCACAGTGGGTTAAGGATATACTCAGCTGTCTGTCGGTCCTTAAACATCCCCTATTATTATTACAACAATTTAAAAAATAACGCACACTACATATATTAATGTAAAAATTTTAATCAATAATTGGTAATATTAAAAACAAACTTTTCAGTTTCTCGCTATCACCTCTTTGATTGTAAATTTGGCCTCGGAAAACTCGGAAATAGAGAACAATATAATTGTTGGTAAGATTGATTTTTATTTTATTATTGTATTTTTGGTTAAACGTTAGGCCTTGCAGCATATGATTGGCGTATGGCTGTATGAACGTTACATGTGATCGTATGTCTATTGTAATAATAAAACATTTATTTACCCTCTTTATACCACACTTGACATTTCTTTGTGAAATAATAATTGTGTAATATGTTTAAAAGAGTTAATAAAATGGACTAGTACGTTTGAGTAATAAAAACTAATACTTAATACATTTTGAAAGTACGTATAATATCAACAATCTTATCAAATTTATAATTATTGCAATTTATCAGCAGATCAATTTTTTTTAAATTTATACTTTATATATTCTTTTACCTAATGGTTAATTATTCTAACAGCCTCGAGTATTTATTGCCTGTCCACTGTTTATTATCATGTAAGGTTAACTATTTATATTGCTTAACCATTAGTTTATTATTTTAAGTTGTTTAGTGTATTGACTATCTTTTAAACAAAGCCCAAAAAACATTATCGTTTAACCACCGGCTAGTCGCGTTCTTTATTTTGACAATGGTCCCATGTTGCACCAAGCACATCACTATTTTATTTTAATTTCCAATATTTGTACATATCCTAAATGACAATACTTAGACTTTTAATTGATAATAATTTACACAAAAAAAGTTTATAAAATGGATTGACCCTTCTTCCGCGACAACCGACAGAATTATATTACTTACGAGCATCAAATTGTGCACACATATTAGTAAATTGTACAATTTGATTGACAATTTTACCAACCAGAAACATTGAAAAAAAGACTACTTGTGTTGTTGAAGTTGTGCATCGGCTTTTGAACCTGCCAAAAGTGTAACTATGTTTTTTTTTTCTTCTTGTGTATCTAGTTCCATTTTGTGATTTGGCCTTTTCAAAGAAACAACAAATAATTATTTTTGTTATCGATGATTTTAGTGGAAGGTTTCGGACTCACTGGCGTGATCTACAATTTTAAAGTCAGCTTCTTTACTAATATCACGTTCATTGCCAATTAAATCACCTTCATCGCCCGTAATTATTGAAGAATACTGGATAGTCAAGATGTGTTTTCTGATAGGCCATAACACTAAATCAGATAAAGATAATATAAGAGATATACTTAGAAAGATCAAATTGTAATATGTACATAAGCGGTCGCGTGCTGCACAAAGTGGAATAAAACGAAATTATTTAATTGGGCAAAGAAGTGACTAAAGTAAGGTAAAGACGATCTGTAAGCTGGACCTGCTCCATAAATGGTTCATAAATAATTGCTCATCTCTCAATGAAAATGAAATCTGCCTAGAAAAGGCCTATAATTAGAAATGTAAAGCAAAACGTTTGTATTACTATGTTTTAAGAACAGGACATCTAAGAAGAAATCCTTTTTTTGATTTTTATAATTTTCAGCAAAAAGAGTTTATTTTCACTGATAAAATTCGTGGCTATTTTTTTCATTTACTAGGTCAGTACATTCTGGTTTCTTTTTACTGTGTAATATCTCTTCTCGGCTTTTTACTGGGTCTTGTGTCCGCCTACCAGGTAAATTCCAAATCAATTCATATTTTGTTTATAACATCTATCCGATCTTTTTTTTTCACTTCAGGAAAAGTTTTCTGTAATTTACGTCTCCATATCTCTCCAAGCTTTAATGCTCCTTTACTGGCTGGTTCTTCTCATTCTATCCTTTCATAATCACCCTTATTTCACAAGGTAAGACCAGTTAACAAACATCAGCGGAACAAAGCTCATGAGGTTTGTTTTTAATTATTCAGGAGGATTTGCATACAATATCGATGTGCGGATCACCTGTGGATCCAAGACGCGAGGTGGCGTTACTATGTCATCATTTGCGACCCGGAGGATCGGAATCTTCCGGTCATATATCATCCTACTGCTGCAAGCGTAGTAAGCGGACACTTCCAAAATACAATAAATGAGTTACAATTTGAAATCACTAGACATAAGTAAGAAGGCAATACGACTTAAATGGAACAGAATGGTCGCATTTCGGGACACAAACACATGTGCATCCTCGATTTTGAAAACATGACAAACTCTTCTTATTTTAGAGTTGTTACATATATCAAACTGCAAGCAATATCCATGATAATTTGAGTAGGTCTGAATTGAGAAAAAAAATGCTCACTAACCAAATTCATATAACATTGCATAAAAGTAAGATTTTCAAAGGTTCTTATCTATAATCATAACTGAAACAACTGTTCAATTCATTCAGCACAAATTAGAAAGATAAGACAAAGTAAACGCATGGGTAAATAGCTTGTATAATTGCAGTAAATGGCAAAACAATTTTTAGCTCGACAACACTCACTTTAAATCTCTTGATTAGCAAGCGTCTATTTTTTAATTAAACTGTTGGTGGCGAACTATAGCAAAATAACCACGATATCGATGTAACACCGGCTCAGAGAAGCAATTTTTTTTGTTGTAAATCGTGCCTAGAAAAAATGAAAAACAGGCTAAAATATCCGATCAAATCTGTTGAAAATTCTTTAATTTTTAAGCCCTCCTTATGTCCAACATATTTCCCTACTTTCATCTAAACTAAAGTAGTTTTTTTAATTTCTGCAAATTTTAAGCACTCCTTATGTCCAACATATTTCCTTATTTTCATCTAAACTAAAGTAATTGTGTTAATTTCTGTAAATTTTAAGCCTTCCTTATGTCCAACATTTTACCCTATTTTCATCTAAACTAAAGTAGTTTTTTTAATTTCTGTAAATTTTAAGCACTCCTTATGACCAACATATTTCCGTACTTTCATCTAAACTAAAGTGATTTTTTTAATTTCTGTACATTTTAAGCACTCCTTATGTCCAACATATTTCCTTATTTTCATCTAAACTAAAGTAATTTTGTTAATTTCTGTCAATTTTAAGCCATCCTTATATCCAACATATTTCCGTACTTTTAACTAAACTAAAGTAGTTTTTTTAATTTCTGTAAATTTTAAGCCATCCTTATATCCAACATATTTCCGTACTTTTAACTAAACTAAAGTAGTTTTTTTAATTACTGTAAATTTTAAGCACTCCTTATGTCCAACACATTTCCGTACTTTCATCTAAACTAAAGTAGTTTTTTTAATTTCTGTAATTTTTAAGCCCTCCTTATGTCAACATATTTCCCTACTTTCATCTAAACTAGTTTCTTTAATTTCTGTAAAATCAAAAGCCGCAACATTTTTTAGGCTTTCAAACATCAATGTTCTTGTTTATAAGCACTCCTTATGTCCAACATATTTCCTTATTTTCATCTAAACTAAAGTAATTTTGTTAATTTCTGTAAATTTTAAGCCATCCTTATATCCAACATATTTCCGTACTTTTAACTAAACTAAACTAGATAATCTACTCCTTATCCACCCTCTGCTGATGATTTTCCTTGGGTAGACAAAGAAATAAACTTTTTTATATGATCTAACGATTAAATCTAATGACGAATAAATTGGAATGAAAATATAAATGAATTAAGTTTGAATTTTAGGTCTAAATTAGCATAAATAATTTGAGTAAAATATGTACCTTATTGATCATTTGGTAAGTAAGTTGAACCTGAACAACTATGAAAGGAAAGAGTTTAAAATTGTATCATTCCTTGTCTTCAGCTTGACAAATATCTTAACGTCTGGGGAGAACCCGATCATCATGAAGTTTCGAAGAACACCCTAAACAAGGACGAGAGTGGAGGAAAAATTCAAATTAACAAACCGGCGAATAAAACGCACATGTCAAAAACTCAAATTAACAAACCGCCCAATAAAACGGACACGTCAAAAATTCGGATTAACAAACCGGCCAATAAAACGGATATGACAAAAATGTCGAACTGGCCGATTCTCGCCGACGGCGACGTTCTTCCCGCCAAGCGCGTTTTACAGAGCGACGACGTCGGGATTTTGCCCGGTGTTTCGGAAAAAGTCTGGGACCCACAGTCTGATTTTGGAAAAGGCGGCCTTTTAGCCATTTCTATCATTTTCAGCATCATGTTGACAGGTAAAGTAAAAAAATCCTAAGTATGAAACCCACTTTTTTAAACAATTTTTAAAATTTTATTTTCAGCTTTCTTCGTTTACAGTATCACAACACTCATATCTTACAGAAATGAGTTAAAAGCGTTGGAATGGAGTGAAGATAATTAAATTGGATAAGCATTACATCACATTTAATGTAATATACATTACACACTCAAATACATTTTTAATAACTTTTTAATATCCTCACATTATTTCTCTGATTTAATAATAAACTATAAAATAAAACCTTTTAATTATATTATTTATTCTAGTAATACATTTTCTATTAGTTAACATTGCTATAACTCACACTACATATTTAACAGCTTTATTAATTGGACGAAAATGAAATCATGATATAAATAATTAATTATTAAATAATATTTGTATACCTGCTGGTATTTACTTTAGTTACTTACTGTGATAATTCATATATTTATTTTTGTGCAATTTTTAAACAAAAACCATAAATGATCGAAAGATCTGAAGTTACAACTTCTAAGCTGCATTCTTTTTCTATAGTTCGTATTGTACTAGAAATCGAGCATTGTCAAGAAATTTCAATTTATCACAAAATTCATAGAATATAAATAAGAATATGTCAAAATTCTGGAAAAAATCACATACTCATAGATTATAGACGTATATTAAACCAAATGTATGGTTGGCAGGAAAAGTCAAGTTAAATTACACAACGTCAAGCCTAAAAGTAGGATGAAGGAAAGAAAACTCGGTCTCATTTCAATTTTTTTCTGAGCTTATTCTGCCTTTATCGAACACTAATATCTAATGCTGTATTGTTGCAGCACTACTTTATTCTGAGTCTCTTCATTAAAATAGTGTCTAAAAAGAACACCATCAATGTTGTTTTTTCTAAATATATAGTAATTTATGTTAAAAATGAAAATACAGTTAAAGTATATGAATGAAATAAATTGTAGCAAGATAATTTATAATAGATAAATGAGGAAATAAGTTTTTCAATAATCTGGCGCTGACTGGATTGTATCAAGCCATAATATTTTGTTTTGTTCACACTTGGTAAAGAACAGTGCACAGGCAACACTCATTAAAATAATGTTTATTATTAAATCATAGGTAGATAATTAAATAGTGAAGGCAGTCAGATATTTTTTTCTAATTTGTAATTGTGTTTTTTCTAATTATAACGGAAAAAATTTGCATTACAACCATTAAATCAATTAATAAGTAGCATTATGAACGAATTGTTCATGTTCCGTTTCAATAAATAAATTGAATTAGAATCTAAATTTTGTTTGGTATGAAATGAATCAGTATTCAAATAACAACAATTTTTTATTCAATACGAGATCACATTGACCTAAAAATTTTCTCCAGATAATTAATTCCACGTGAAGTAAATATTTTTAACGTTATTTTTCATTATATTATTTCTATTCATAAATTTGTTTCTCTGTTAGGACATTACTTTTTGATTGTTGTATATGGCACGTTTAGTCTTCTCGGACACATGTTGGGCCTTATGTCAGGATATAAGGTGATTTATTGTCAACTTGATTTACAAATAAAAAAGGACATTAATTTGTTTAATTTTTGTTGAAACTAGGAAAGCAGAAAGTTAGCCTTGGCAGCTGCGGTAATACAATCATTGATGTTTCTGTACTGGTTGGCTTTTCTTGGTGTGTCTTATCTGGGTATTAAGGCTATTACAAGGTATCAATTCGATTATATTTATTTTGTAATTTATTTAAATTTGGCATCCTCACATTAAAAATTAGCGCTTAATATTGCCATGTTCATCTATAATTTTTTCTATCGCGTATTTTTTTTGTTGGATAATCAAACTATTTATGCTTTCACATAAAAGAAAACTTGTGGCTTATCGTTTTTTACAGTCATTACATTATTCACTCTGTCCTTTCTCACTGTCTCTCTATCTATCTTTTTATCTCTTTATCTCTCTCTCTCTTTCTCTCTCTCTCTCTCTCTCTCTCTCTCTCTCTCTCTCTCTCTCTCTCTTTCTTCGTCTCTCTTTTGGCACGAAATCGAAACTTTTTTTGTGGGCTTTATTGATTTAAATGTTTAGTTATTCATCACCAAATATCTATGTTCGCATATCTACCGGAGGATACTCCAGTGCGTTTTCGATTAACTGGCTAGAATGGTTTTTTTTTTTACAGGAGAGTTTGTATCGACAACAGATGCCCTGATCATTTATGGATTCAGGACTCGAGATGGAGACCTTTTTCTGGAGTCTGTGATCCTGCCGATTTGACACTGCCTCAGCTTTCCAAAACTAAGGGTCAAGCTGCTTCTGTGAGTGACGAAAAAACCAACACCTCATCCTTTAATAATCATTAATAATCCACTTGATACAGTTGATCATCAAAGCCTCAAATAGTTCCTCTAATGGTTTAAATATAATCGGGGAATATGATTTAACCATGCGTAAAACAAAGTCCGAAGAGAGAAAGTCGCCGATTGATGAGAAACAAGGTATTCTGATTGGATTACCGAGTCGTATGAACTTAGTAGGAGTTCAAGAGAGACTCTGGGTTCCACAAACTGGGATGGGAAAAGCTGCGTACATCGCCGGCTCTATCATACTTTCAATAATCATCGCTTGTACGTATTTAATCAATAAATAATAAGTAATATTTTCAATAATGGATTCACTTATGCTAGACATTAATTGAAAGGCTTTTTCAATTATACAGTAGTTCAATTATGATTTGTTGCTTCTTTTTAGGGAGAAGTCTTTAAAAGGAGCAAAAGATTATTTATCATAGAATTGAAAATTTTCAACCTTCCTGATATATATTTAACAGTTTTTCTTTATTAAGGAACAAAAATAGTTAAAGAAAATTGAAAATAACAAAACTGTTGGTTCTTGTAGTTTATTGGAACAAAGCTAAGAAAAATTCAACCATTAATTAGTATTAATTATGATTTGTTCTTCATTTAATTTATTTTTTCAGTTTACTTACTCTACTGTATTACGACCTTGATATCGTACAGGTACGAATTGAAAATAATGGAAAAAATAGAGCGAACCTGAATGTTGTTACTGTTCAAGTTTGTAAATTGTTCCTTCTTAATTGTTAATTACAACAGAATTTTCCACCTTTGGTTCTGCACTATTTAATCAATAAATTTATTAATATAATTGTCTTGTTCAAACATCAAATATTTTGTACGAGAGATATGGGGTATAAATATAAATCGATAGACATAAAGATTATTATTTATCAGAACCTTAACTAAGTAAAGTACAATAAGCAAAAAGAAATGTTTGGGAAATATCAAACCCCCTCTCATATTACCATCAAATTATCCTAAAAATGATCTTCTTTTGATTATTTACAGTATATTGTAGTATATATATATATATATATACTACAATATACAGCAGACTACTAGCCATGCTTATTATACTTTGTAATTATTATTAAGCGTGGATTCTAGTCCCGCTCGTGTCACTAATTTTTCATCTCAACCACACTTTACATAAAAATTATAAATCGATTTAAATAATTACTTTCGTTAAATACAACCAACTAAATACATATAGATTAATTTATACTTATAATATAAAAAACACAACTTGAAAAGAAAGAGAGGACCCCACACTGTCACCAAGAATAAGTCAACTTTATAAATATTTACAGTTAGTTTGTTAATGTAGGCTAAAATTATTTATTCCGAGTTCGTTAATCTACTATTATAATTGATTTTTAAAGAACACCTTTAATGAATATATTAAATTAATCATTTGCAAATAGTCTGTACACACTTTAAAAGCTGTTATTCTGCATTTAAAGAATTTAATAATTAACTTTTCAGACAGCCAAACTTTGGTAATTAACGTTCAAAATTGGGTCGATGTTTCGCTTGTTCAAAGCGGTCAGAGGCGTTTTATGTCGAAAGTCGTCTATGATTTCTATGATTCCCTATGAAGCCATTAGGCCCTCCCCATCTGTCCAATTACTGAATCAATTCACCTTGTATGTAATGACACTCGAGTTAGCCTTCTTTTGATCTCGGCCGACACCTTTTCTTAATAGAATATTTATGATCCACATAAATAGTAATAAGGAAAGAATGGTATCGGAAAAAACAATATAATAGAACCACGCGAAACGCCCCCGGCGTTTCGGGATCTTCCAGGTTTTACAGATCGTCGCACGTGCTGCGTGGATAATTTTCACCCTCGGTTTGATCAGTAATAATGAGCACAGGCGACTTATAATTTTCGTTATAACAGGATTTGAAACGTGGGGAAAGACGACGAAAGGAAGAAAGAGATATAAATAAAGAAAAAAATTAGCTTGTTGTTTTGTATAATGGAATTTGTGATAAATAGATTATATTATATTAGGGTATTATATTTTTTGAAGAGTGCATTTCCTTATTAATGAAAACAATTGTTTGATTCCGACCATTTTTTAGGCCACAGACGCCAGATCCTATATTTGTTTTATTATTCCCCCGAATTACCAGGCATGCATGATATATGTATTATAACTACTTAATCCATTTAAACCAATTGTTTGGTGCCATAAGTGTTGTACAGTAATTAGACGTTACGTACCTGAATACCGTGGCTTAAGCTTAAATCTTAACAATAGCGAGTTTCAGTGTTTTGTTTTCAAGTTCCAGTTCTTTGCAGTTTACATGTGTCGACAATACTTTGAGGCGTTTGTCTTTTTTCCAGTGATTGAACTTAACTCTGAGTGAAAAAACCTCACCTACACCTCACAGACTCTGCAGAAACTCATCTGAACGACCACATTTTGATGTCTAAGATCCCCACTATAATATTTAAAAATTTCCCATTCAAAGATTTATTAAAACAACTACAACCTGTTTTTACTTACGAGAGATTGGTAGATAGATGAATAGATAGCTAGGGATAAAGAGAGAAAGAGAGAGAGAGAGAGAGAGAGAGAGAGAGAGAGAGAGAGAAAGAGATTGAGATAGAGAGAGAGAGAGAGATTGATAGATCGATAGATAGATAGATAGATAGATAGATAGATAGATAGATAGATAGTTAGATAGATAGATAGATAGATAGATAGGGAGAGAGAGAGAGAGAGAGAGAGAGAGAGAAAGGCTGAGAGACTAACAGATGTAGAGGCAAAGGTAACTGGAAAGGAAATTATGTAGATAGATAAATAAGAAGAACAAATATAAGAATGGGGGAATGAGAAAAATAGAAGAAGTGAGGAGGAGGAGAGAGAACTAGAAACACAGAACCATAGCATGAGAAAAGCGGAAAGAAGAAAGATAAAGAAAGAGAGAGCGATAGAGAGAGAGAGTGACAAAATAGATCAATACGAAAATAGATAGCTGAATAAGAAATACAAACATGTGAATGTAGGGGAGAGAAAAATACTGAAGGTAAGGAGAAGAATTGAGGTATGGAAACGAAGAAGCATAGGAAAAGAAAAGGAGAGAAATACAAAGAGAAAGAAAAAGAGGGTATGAGAGAGATGGTGAGATGGACGGAGAGAGAGAGGGAGCGAGAGAGTGAGAGATGGAGAAAGAGGGAAAGAGTGACTGTGAGAGAGTGACAAAGTAGATGGATAGGAAAGTAGAGAGATAAATAAGAAGTACAAATATGTGAATATGGTGAGAGAAAAATACAGGAAGTGAAAACAAAGAACGGTAGCAAAAGAAATGAAGAGAGATACAAAGAGAAAGAAAAAGAGGGTAAGAGAAAGATAATGAGACGGACGGAAAGAGGGAGGGAGGGAGAAAGAGAGAAGGAGAGAGATTAAAAGAGAAATGGCAGAGATGTAGTGAAATATAGATAGAAAGCCGGACAGAATTATGGAAATAAATAGTGAGATAGTAGGAGTTAGGGGGAGATAACCTTGTAGAGGTAAAAATAATTTCACACAAATGATCATAATTATTATATTTACCACCATTAACCACATATTTACTCCACTATATCTATGTGTTTCAGTTAACATTTTTATAATAAACATATAATTATAATAAGAATTTGTGTTTTCTTTCTTTAATTTTTATTTATTTATTCTTTTTTTCTTTCTATAAATGAACGTTACTTATATAACGTATTTAAACTTGCACAAGATTAAAATTGAGTTTTTTTAATTTTATTATATTTTAATTTCATTTGCTTTCAGTAGATACAAACTGAAATAGACCAACTAGCGCTTTCTGACGCAGTGAGCTTACATTTCAAAGCTCGCTTAGTTTCTGACGAAAACGCGTGGGGATTTTACAATTTTTTTGTTTTGGAACGATTCAGGGTTTTAACTCTTAATGGATTAACAAATGTCAAAATAAGAAGGTTTATGTGGATGGTTTTCATCGTCAAGTGCAATTTCCCAATGGGCCTGCAAATTCTTGAGAAAGATGGACGACGGACGTATCAGAAACTAAGTCACCAATGAATTTAAGCTCACGGCAACAGAAAGCGCTAGTCTTACAAAAGTTCCCAGAACGATACACAAAGGAATAAAGGTAAAAAATATACACATTGTAATACAAAATAATATAACAGAA